TGACACAAGTGACCTGATTGTTTGGTGTTACATATATAACCAGGAGGAAGTGATAGCACTGGATCAAAGACTGTTATCAAAATTATTGTCCCCGTTAGCATTTCAGTTGTACTTTCTTGTTTGGTGGGTTGCTATTTACTGAGGAGAAAAACAAGGAAGAGAAGCCAATCCATTCTCAAAGAAAACTGTAATCTATTGTTTGTTCACTGTTAAACTTGAGAATGTTTATATCTTACCATAGCATGCTTATTAAATTAGTATTCACATATACTGTGGTGTAGTTGGAGAAGAAGGTTTTAATCTGAGGTCCTTGCAATTTAGCTTAGCTACAATTGAAGCTGCAACAAATAAGTTTTCTGAAGAGAACAAAATAGGAAAAGGAGGATTTGGAGAAGTTTACAAGGTGATATACTAAACTAACTGCCAATAACTAATTATATATCATATTCCTAATCATAATAATTCAATTTTGTTTTTAGGGCACTCTTCCTGATGGACGAGAAGTTGCTGTCAAGAGACTCTCTAGAAGTTCAATGCAAGGACCATTAGAATTCAAGAATGAAGTTTTGCTTATAGCCAAACTCCAGCATAGAAATTTGGTGACGTTATTGGGATTTTGCTTGGAAAAACAAGAAAAAATTCTTATTTATGAATACATACCTAACAAGAGCGTTGATTTCTTCTTATTTGGTACAAACTTCTAACCTTATTTCCTCATATCACATATGGTTCAACTTCTATGCATACATCCTTTCATATGCATTTTTTCCCAGCTAGTTTGTTACTAGTAGTTGCTTTCATGATTATTTCACTTAATTATATAGATTCTTCTATCTTTCTTCATTTTATTTTCTTAATTATATAGATTACGACAAGCAAAGATCATTCGATTGGTTTGAGCGGTTCAAAATCATTGGGGGAATTGCACAAGGACTTTGTTATCTACATCAACATTCACGTCTTAAAGTTATCCATCGTGACCTCAAACCAAGCAATGTTTTATTAGATAACAAGATGAATCCAAAAATATCAGATTTTGGTATGGCAAGAATGATTTCTACAGATGAAGACCAAGGAAACACAACTAGAATTGTCGGAACACAGTAAGCATTGATGTCCTCCTTTTTAATTGGTTATCTTAATTAATCAATTCCATGAGAAACAAAAAAAGAGATTGTATCTATTCCTATGTGAACATTGCTTGATACGTGCTATTTGTTACCATGATCAGTTTTCCTTTATGTGGTTAATTGTCCCAAATTGATCTAAATATGTTTTTCATATTATACTAAAGCGCATATTTTCTTTGACTTTTTTTTGGGTTAAATTTTGTAGTGGTTATATGGCTCCTGAATATTTAATACATGGACAATTTTCTGAAAAGTCTGATGTATTTAGTTTTGGAGTCATAGTTTTAGAAGTGCTTAGTGGGAAGAGAAATGCCAAATCCTATGAATCACACCTCTTAACAAATGTAAGTATCAAATCTGTGCTGATCTTTCCTCTTTTTATAATCATGTTGTCATATCTATTTGACGAAGATTAAGATGCTAAGGTGAATTTGATTGTGTAATTATTTGACAAGGTCTGGAAGCAGTGGAATGAGAGAACACCATTACAAATATTGGACTCTTTTCTGATGGAATCATGTTCTCAAACTGAAGCAATAAAATGTGTCCAAATTGGGTTATTGTGCGTTCAACAAAATCCAGAAGATAGGCCAACAATGGCTCAGATTGTTTCATATCTCAGCAATCTTTCCATTGACTTACCATCTCCAAGAGAACCTGCATACTTCTTGCATTCCAATCCAACTATAGTTGCAGAATTGAATTTGGATCAAACGACTCTTCAGAGTTCAACTTCCAAGTCAGCTGGTTCAAATGAATGGTCTTAGCTCTTGCCTCGATGAAATGAACTTCATCTTTTCTATGTGTGTATGTGTTTATACATGTCGTGAGATGTATCAACTGTTGTTGTTTCTGTTCATTAAGTTATTTCTCGACCAAATGAAGTTCATTTATAGCCCTGTTGATGTGGGTTGTACAGCTTGAGTTTGGAAATAAGTTATTGTATCGTTTATTATTTTTTTGAATAAATAGTATTATTTTGCCGCCATTTTAGTGATTAAGATATGAAAAAAGAGTGGTTAACTAGAATCTGAATGTGTTGGGGAACTTTAACGAAAAACAAATTAGGGGGAAAGAGTTTTATAATAGACAGTATGATTTGAATTCACAAGTTTGTGTTACTGATCAAATCATTATTATTAATTACATTAAATCTTATTTGGGGAGTGATAAATCCATATTTTATCATATCATTTTATATCTTTTTGAGGATTTTTATCAATTAAAAAGGGATAATTTGCATTGACTATGATTATTTTGAATTAAATATTGATTGCATTAAAATAAAGTTAAAAAAAGGAAATTTTACCTAAGTGATTGATTCTTGGGGGTTTATGATATTATATTATCTCAATTTATTTTGTAGGTCTCAAAAGAAAACGGAAAGAATTGAAAAGCTGGAAATAAAATAAGAAAAAAAGTATATAAAAAAAAAAAAACGAGAAAACCCAAGCACACCGTTTTGGAATAGGAAAGTGGAGGGATATGAATTGACGAATCCATCGTACACAGGGCGAGAGCAGGCCGCCGTCCATCCTCCAATTTGACGCCGCCACCAATTCTTCAACAAACACACAATTCATCGCCCTTTTCCTGGAGGCCCAGAACACGACTTCACTCTAATTCAACCCCCCATTATCTACACCTATCCTTTAATCCTCACTACCATCATCGACTTCTACTCTTCATTAGTGACCACCCCCGTCTCATTTCTCTCCTGTAGAATCTCTCATATCCAGTCCTTCATCTTGTCTCTCATGGATTCTTTGAAATTCAACCGTGTGTTGCAAGGTACTAAAAACCGAACCGGTGAATGAACTGGTTAAGACAGTGGATTAAGGGTCAGTGGGTTAGATCGGGGTCAAACCGGAGTCAAACCAGTAATAATTAAAATAATATAATTTAATAAAAATTTATAAATATATTCTTATTTTAATTATGATTTATTCTCTTTCCTTCTTCAACACAACAAGTCTTTTCTCTCTGTTTTTTTTCACACGCAACAATCAATATGATTGATAGATTGACAAATTTTTTTGTCTCTTTCCTCCATTCATACCTTTTTTGACTTTCTTTTTCTCTAATAAAAATAATAATGAATTAATAATAATCACTTTCTACCTCGCGTCATTTCCTCAATCAAAACCCATTATCAGTTGCATCTTCAGATATCTTCAAACCAGAGAGGAGCAGCCCGTGAGTGTCTTCGGATTTCCTCTAACAAGAGAGGAGTACCCGCCGGCAAGTCTCAGCTCACCCACAAGCTAGAAGGAGTGCACCTTAAGGCTTGGAGACTTTCAACAGCCTCCATGACTTCTCTTTGCCCAGATCTGATCGGTCCCTCTTCTTTGAACTTAACATCGTCTGCGTCTGCAATGATCCAAAAGGGAGATCTAACTACTAGAATGGAAGAGGGAGCACAAGCAAGAAGCCATTTTGTATGGTAGTGGTAGGTAAGGAGAACAGCAGCGAGATCCGGTGACTGAGTTTTCCTTCCCCTTTTTTTTCAAAATAAACCTGTAACCCGCCTAGCCCAGCGAGTTATCCGGTTTAGTCCCGGGTTATCCTGGTTTAAACTGAGTCATACCGGTTCAGTTTTTCTCCGGTTTTTGTGATCACCCAAACCAGACAAGTGACCGGTTTGCCGGTTTCCAGTCTAAACCGGCCGGTCCGATCCGATTTTTAATTCCATGATGTGTTGCGGATGCTTCTAGAAAGCCTTAAGAGGCTAGTCCTATTATGCTTTTTGGATTTGGAACAGTAGCTTGAGCTTGGAACTATAATTAGATGAGTATTATTTTTCCAATTAATTATCTTTTGTTAGTTATCCAATTAATTATCCTTTGAACTTTATTTGATTTTTCCTGTGCTAGAAATATTTTCATTTTGAATAGAAACTAAAATTATATGTTATAATTTTTATTAGTTAGATATTTGCATTTGAATTGAGTTGTATGACTTGGGATTTGAATTATCTATATTTCTTTTTGTATTCATTGAGATTGTTTTATCTGGTATGTTGTTGAATTTTATGATTAAAATGTATTGCATTTGAGTGTCTTCGTCAGCATTCATTATTTCATTATTAGGAAAACGGGTTTTATCGACTCAATTTAATTCGCACATCAAGTGATTTTTAAAGATGTTTTGAAAATTGATTATTATCTAGTATTTAGGGTAATTAATTGTCAATTTTACTTGACCCAAACCTTGTTTGGGTTTATATTTTGACTTGGCGTATTTTTCTTTACTCTCATATTTTTATTAAACAAGGATAATTACATTTCGTTTTCAAAAAGCATATTTATTATTGACTTGTTTTAATCCAAATTTTGCAATCTTTATTCTTTTATTAAAAAATATAAAAAATATTTGTTTTTCCTACTATAGTTAAAATTTAGGGATTACATTATAATTGAGTCAAAATTATAAAGATAAATTAATTAATTTTCCCATTCTTTTAAGAGAGGTTATATAATTAAGCGACCGGAGAGAGTATTATAGATCAAGATACATCCCTTAACAAATTTAAGATCTAAATAGGATTAACGTGATTTCAAGCTGTATTGTGGCAATACACTCGATAGAAATAATTAACGTCAATTATAGGGAATAATAGTCAGTTGGGCCAGATTTGATAAACTGTTGTATGTACTTTTTTGGCTCAAAGCTCCTGTATCCTAATATTATAGTTGTATTCAACTCTGGTAAACAGTACATCTGCTTCCAGTTTGAATCATTCCCACTCTTGTCGATGGTGCAAAGTTCAAACTTTTATAAGTAAAAACTGCCTAATTCATATTTCTAAATCAGTTAATCATATCATTCATCATATTTTCTTGTGCTTTTGATTGGTACTCACTAGCGGAAATGGTTGATTCTCCAAAGCTATTCCTTCTTCTCTGCACTATTTCTTTCCTCTCAGGCGTTTCCTTCGCTGACCCACCATATAAAAATTGTTCAACGAGCAGTAATTACATCAAAGGAAGCTCCTTTCAGAACAACCTCAACTACATCCTTGGTTCTCTATCTTCCAGTGCTTCAATCTCCAAATCTTACAACGTCTCTTGTGGAGAAAACCCAGACAGAGTTTATACCCTCTTCTTGTGCCTCGACTATGTTTCAAATCAAACATGCCAAGATTGCATAGCCACGGCAACACAAGACATTCTTAAACTTTGTCCCCAAGCAGAAGAAGCAGTTGTTTGATAATCAACAGAATATTTCAGAACCCAAGAAGTTTGAGTCTGGGGTTAATGGGTTATTGTATAGTCTTGCTGAGAAGGTATCTTTCAATGCTCCTTCATACTTGTATGCTATTGGAGAGGCAACCTTTGAAGAGAAAACAGTATATGGCTTAGTTCAATGCACCAGAGATTTATCAGCTAGTGATTGTGGTACATGCCTGAAAAGTGCGATAAGTTTTCTACCTATTTGTTGTTATTCCTCAATCGGAGCTAGAGTTCTAAGTCGTAGCTGCTACTTGAGATTTGAATTATACGCATTTTATAATGGTGAACCTGATCCAAATGGTTCGTTTACAACAAGGGGAAAAAGTAAGCGTTTCAGTTGCCGGTAACTGTGATCGATAATATTGCATCAAGTTATAAGTCTTAAACTGTTTGAGTTTGATGATTTAAATGATCCTTTATGTAGGTACAACAGACAAGGCAGGGATGATTACAGGAATTATAGCAGCGATTGGCTTGGCAATAGCGATTTCAAGTTTCAGCGTTTACTTCCTTAGGATGAAGAAGAGAACTCAGAAAAGTATGCAAGATTATAAGCTGATATAAGGTCAATTCATGTTTCTGAATTTTTCTCTCTGTTCTGTTTAACTGCTTGGGTTCTTATGCTTAGGTAAGGGAGGAAAAGACAGTCATGTGATGGATCTTCATGCCTTTGGACAGAGAGGTGAAACAGTGTTCCAAAGTCACCAAGATTTTCGTGGAAGAAATGATAAGATATCTGAGGATTTGCCTTACTTTGATCTTGAAAGTCTTTGTTGCTACCAAAAACTTTTCTGATTCAAATAAGTTTGGTCAAGGCGGCTTTAGCTGTTCTTACTGGTTTCTGTATTGCCTATTTCCATTAAAAACAAAGGGAAGATAGAGGTGAATCTTTTCTATAATTTTTCATCTGTTGACTATGTTAAAGAAGTAGTGGGAGAATTACCAACCTCAGTTAATTTTTCAATTTTCGTTTTCTTTGAAAAAAGAATGAATTAGATGAAGAAAAAAGCGAAAAGATGCTACTGCAACAATTGGCGACCCCCAAGAGCATAACAATTACACAAGATGGAGAATTAATTAGCTCTGAAGAACTTGAGTTTATGAGTTTTGCAATAATTAAGTTGGCCGCCGATGACTTTTCTGATTCAAACAAGTTAGGACAAGGAGGTTTTGGTTCTGTATACAAGGTAAGATAGTCTCTGAATTTCATTTCAGCCTCTCCAAGCAGGCAATTATGCAATTTATGGCTTGATTTTGGGGAACTTCAGGGTGTTCTTCCCGATGGAAGTGAAGTAGCAGTCAAAAGGTTATCAAGGAAGTCTTGGCAAGGCACAGAAGAATTCAAAAATGAGGTCATTCTGATTGCAAAACTTCAGCATAAGAATCTGGTGAAGCTGTTGGGATGTGGCTTGGAAGGAGAAGAGAAGTTTCTCACATATGAATACATGTCCAATCAAAGCCTTGACAAATCTATCTTCGGTTTGCTGACTTTTCTCCCATCTTTTGAAGTAAGGTTTATATATCTGCATCAAATACAATGCTGGCGTGGTCTGCAGCGAGGAAAGAATATAATGCTCTGTTTAAAAAACCAAACATGGTTGTAACAAAAAATAAAACATAAAAAACAAAACAATGGCATAAGTATAAAATTGAATAATCAAGTTTCTGTCTAGTTGGTTTATAACTAGACCGGAAAAAAAAATGCTGTACCTGATGAACTAGGTCATCCAAAGGTTTGTCTGTCTTAAGCCAATCACTTCGTCTTTACGTCCCGAATGAAGCATTCAATGCCCTTTGAATGATGAAGAATTCCACATGGCCAGTCCAGTGTTGATACTGTCTCATCTTCAACACAAAATATAACAAGCAGAAAATTTAAATAAGCAAACGTACATTAATTACCTTGTGTTGGTGCAGCTCTAGTAATAGATGAATCCAAAGAGCCACATAGGATTAAAGAAGCTCTCAAGTCAGACCAGCGGAGACAATCAACGAAAGAGGCCGAATACAACGCTGTGATTAAAAAACAAAACATGGTTAATTGTACGTTACACAGGACAAGGCAACGTGGTTGATTGTAAAAAGATCTTTAAGCTTAAAGGAAAAGCCAAGTGACTCTCAAAATAAAGCTCAAAGCCTTCAGCAATTTGATGAAACATTTAACCTAATCCAGAGGTTTGCGCTTGTTATGGCTGTTACGTTTGGGTGGAAAATTAATAATGCCTTCTTAAATGCAGTTCTACAAGAACATGCTTTGATAAGGCAACCAGAGGGATTTGTGAATTCAAAATTTTCAAATTAAATTTTGGACAAATAAAGTATAATTAGCCCAATTTAAATATGAAAAATACCAGGAGGTTTCAATAATTGGGCAAAAAAAAAAACATATTTTAAGATTAATGAGAATATGTACCAAGAAAGAAAGGGAGAATTTAGTTTACAGAATATTTTAAGTGAATTTTATCCAAGAATAAGGCATTTTCCTGAAATTGTGGGGGGAAAAAAATACTTAGAGATCAAATTTAAATATGAGAAAGATATGAGAACTACTTCCTAATAAATGTGAGTTTTTGATGGTTTTGAATTGGTCAAATGGTAAAGAAATCTTCAAAAAAATGCTCTTCCGGTTTTAAATACAAGATTTATTTTATAATGTAAATTATATTATAAAACGGATTTTATATTTCAAAGCGGAGGAGTGTTTACTAGATATTAATATTATAATATTGGAAAATTAAGAGTTTATAGGAAGGTAAGGAAGCTTTGGCAAAAGTATTTTTTGCCTCCATCAAATACAATGCTGGTGTTGTCTGCAGCGAGGAAAGAATACAATGCTCTGTTTAAGTTAATCGTACCATACACAAGACAAGGCAATGTAGATGATCGTTAATGGGTGTTTAAGGTTAACGGAGAAGCCACATGGTTCTCAGTAGCACAAAGCCAGACTAGGAGTGAAAGGTTTTCAACCAAAGCCAGGGGATTAAATTTGATGAAACATTTAGCCCAGTCTTGAAAGCGTCTTCACTGAGATTTGTGCTTGCTATTGATGTTAAAAATGCCTTCTTAAATGGACTTTTACAAGAAGGTGTCTTGTCTTGATGAGGCAATCAGAGGGATTTGTGAATTCAAAATTTCCTCATTATGTTTGTTTGCTGAATAAAGCATATCTTATATCCATGCGGATGACATTATTGTGACTGGAAATTCATCAAGGCTACTGAATATATTCATCAACCAACTCAATACTCTGTTTGCTTTAAAAGACTTGGGACTCATACATCATTTTAGGGTATGGAAGATTTCGAGATGACACAGGGTTGTATCTAGAGCAAGAAAAATATATCCAGAATCTGCCTCAGAGGTCCGGAATGGCACACCCATCTCCACCTATGGTAGTCAACAGACATTATTCAAAGGATGATGGCATACCCCAGAAAGATCCAACTATTGCCATTGGTGCTCTTCAGTGTTTATCAAACATGTACTCTGTTTGTTGCTCATTTGGCTACTGTTCGACGTCGGAGAATTTCGAACTCTGCACTCCACAAGTTGAAGATCAGAAGTCGCCGGTGGTTTTGCCTTTGTTTATGACGGCTAAGACCCCTTCTCAGCATACTCCTCTGTTGGTTCTCACGCAACTTGTGTGGAGAAGTTCAAGAAGTCTCCAAGTTTGGGTATTTCTTTTAAGTTGTGAAGCCATCACCGTCGCCCTCTGTTTCTGAGTTGTGTCGTCTCTGTTTGTTCCTCTTGGTGTCCGTTGCCAGTTTCTTGGGCTCGTGAATTCGAAGCCAAACTCAGAGCTGGCAGTAGGATGCCATTACTAAGGTATATCATGATAATTGATCAGGTTTCGGTAACTTTTTGCGTGTTTGTGACAGAGACTAGCAAGGATCTATTTTGCAGAGTCCCAGGATCATGTAGTATTGGTGTACTTCCTATTATTAAAAAATGACTTGATTTTGTATTTACCCTCAATTACTTGATTACAAATTATTACAATTGAAACAATTAACAAAATGAGATATGTTTGACGCTGTGACCATTGTTGTAATGTCGGACAGGCAGCTAAAACGAGGAGAGGCAGAGGAGCGAAGGTCAGACGAAAGGAAGGAAAGGTCATTCCCCTCGTAGCAATGACGAGTACAAATTGAGTCTCTTAAAATATCGTTCTTGACTCGCGTGACATAAATAAAGGCTTTCACCTGAGCGGAGAACTTTGTGTCTCATAACTGTTACTGCTTCCTTCTCCCCCCCCCCCCCTCTTTATTTTTGGGGAGTTTTCACATAATCTTCAAGAAAATGGAAAGAAAATCTTTTGGCCTCAAAAAGGAAAATCTACTTAATAATAACATAAATTAAAACATTAAATCCTAACCATTAAAATTTTAACCCAATGATGGTGAGGGAAAAATAACGATGGTGACTGATTCCTAATTTTAGCACGAATTTAAATACTAAGTATTTTATTCATTCTAGATAACAGTTCAATGTTCACGTAATAAAGTTATTTTCATTATTTCTTACCATTATCTTTTGAAATTTGGATCGAAATAAATTGGTATTATTTAAATCTTATCTCTAAATTGATGTAAAAAAAAATCTCTAATTCAACTTGCTAACAGTTAATTCTTGATTAATTACACATTTTAAATTATAGACACGAACCTTACGTTTTAATTCATATAATATTTTTCTTTACCTTTACAGATCATAAACATGAATATCGTTTCATACGTTTGTCAAGAACTCTATGGTCAATTGTGACCAATCTTAGTGAAATAATTAATAATCTTAATAATATAATTAAGCAAACAACACAGTTGTTGAATGGAAGTTTCATATATCACAACAAACCAATTTCTGAGTCTTTCATACATTGGAGTCACAATACACGATGAAACAAACCACGTTTTAAGGGTAGAGTTTTGTCCTGGCGGGCCAAGTCATTATTGGCAGGAATATTGTTAATCGTAAAACAGTATCATATTCTCATTTATCACATAATTGAGAATTCAACACAGGCATCAACGCACAGGCATATGTTCACATTCTTCATCAAGTGTCAATATCATCACCAAAAGCACCTGCATTAACGAAGCAACGAAAATAAAAAGACTACTGAGATTATGTTCATATTCTACATGTATCCATGTTATCAGATATAAATCATTTTGTACTAATAAGCTGTCCGCTGAATTGGTAAGTGGTCTCACGCTGTAAGGAGAAGAGCACAAGTTCAAGTGCACTTATAGGGAGAGACGAAAACTCTTTGCACTCTACACCTCAAAATGAGATACCCTTGATCAAATTAAAAAAAAAAAAAGAAGATATAAATCATTTTGTAGTCAATGGCTCAAAAATTATGTTTTTATGATTCTATTTTGTAAATATAAATCATATTTAATTATTTAGTGGGAAAACTGGATTAAAATACTTGGGGAATCAAATTATTAAAATCAGCTTTTTGGTTTTTTTTAATATGCCATTTGTTTCTTTTCTCCTTAATCATAGTCAATCTCTTTAAATAAGCAAAAGTTGAGAGGAAATGTACACAAACAAATGAAAATTGACATGTTTTAAAAAAAATTTAAAACAGACACACAAAGATGGATTCTCTGTTTCATCCCTTAATTAATATATGCAGAAGTTGTTCATATTATTATAATAATTAATATTGGAAAAAATATTGAAATAAATTTTCAGAAGCAACTCTATTTTTTAGTGAGAGGAAAGCAGAGACAAGTGTAGCAAAAAAGATGCAAATAATTTAAAGAAAGAAAAATTGGCGTGTAGGGGCAAAAATACGTGCGAGTTTTGTTTTTGTTTTTGTTTTTCTTGTTTTAAATGCTTCGTTCCTTCATATATGAGGCTTTTATTGAAATCGTAATAACTACTAGAGAAAATCATAGACAATAAGCAGGAAAAATCATAAAACTAGCTAACCTGAAAATGATAACATGGTTGATGGACTTATCCTTCTATCACTTAACGCTATTCTGCAATACCAAGTCATAAGATTAGTTTGTCTAAAAAATGTAATTTTATCACCAAAAAAATAAAAAAAAATGTAATTACCTTAAGTATGATATAATCAATTTTCTATTTGCGCTTGGTCATTAACTGCACATGTTTGGAAAGCAATATTTGTTGGTGTGTGCTGAGGATAGCATTTCTATTGTTTTGTTAAGGTCTCCTTCATTCTCCCATTCCATATCACATCCTTCTATTTTCACTTTAGATAACTTTGGTGTTTTCAACACTCCTAAACCAAGCTTCTTCATTTGAGGGCATCCAGTTATTTCTATATCTTCTAATTTTGGGAATTCGAAAGTGCAACTTTGTGAAGAAAACATCTTCAAGCTTAGCATATCAATAAGTCTGATCCTATGCAACTGGTTGAATGTGATTCCACCTTCTACATCTTCATTGGTCTCATTCATTACAATTTCCTTCATCTTTTTGCATTCATTTATCTTCAACCATTCAAGTCTCACCAAGCTTTTGGTAGTTGAACTTGTCACTAAATGGACGAGCTGATGACATCCTGATATGGATAGGCTTCTCAACTTTTCAAATGAAGCAGATGACGGTGTCAACTTGACCAAATTACAACAATTATTGACACTGAGGTATGTCAGTCTTTGATGAATTAGTGGCAGTTGAGAATCATCCTTCCATATGCTCTTGAGTTTATCCAAATTAGAAACGTGTAATGCCTTAAATGGAAGGATTTTTTCCATAAAATTAATAACCTGGTCCTGTGAGGGGAATATCTCCTCAAAGGAACTATGCTGCACATTAAGCGAATGCAATGTAGGAAATCTTTCAAGGGAGATATAGGGAAAGGTTGCCCCTTCATCACGGAAGCTTTCTACATCAAGAATTCTCACTTTAGGAAAGACATGCCTTATCATTGTGATATTCTCCGCATTTAACACCATGTGTTGGGCTGTGGAAGTTACCTACAAAATGAAAATTAATAAAACAATTACTATAATTAGTATGCGATATAGTAAATTAGATCAAGATATCATTTCAGACTAATATGTATATTTTTCATCATTTTCCCCAAAAATCACATCCATGCATTAAAATTAGAGAGAGAGAAAATAAATTAATTTTATTACCCGCTTTTTGACTCTTAATTAAACTAGGATAAAGAAAAACTATCATTTCCTTCGAATTCACATTTATCTTTAGGCTTTTGACAGTGAAAACTACATATAAAAGCTAATTGATAAAATTATTACTATGAGACGGCAGTTTAATAAATTAGGTCAAGAAAATTTTTTAAACTAATAATTTTTCTTCTTTATTGTAGATAAAATCTTTCTTCAACAATTGGTCAATTTTTTCTAATATGTATATTAAGGCTTGTTGTTGTTGATTTTCTCTCTAAAATCACATCCATATTTTAAAATTAAAAAAAATTCGTTTGAATCATTTTATAGCTCCCTTTTAGTAAAAAATACGTACTCAACAATGCAACACTATTTGTAGCCTACCACATTCAGTTATCATCATTTGCGCGCAATTAGAGTCTTGTAACATGAAAAGTGTATAATTTATGGGAGACAACAGAACGACTTCAATATTTGTATTAAATAGTTACCTTATCCTAAATTTTGTAGATGATAAGGAATTATTTAAAAACTAGAAAATAAGAATGCCAGAATGTTGGACATACCTCGTGAGTCATGAACCGATGTTGGATGGTATTGTTAAGATCGGTCATCCAAATATGTTTATGGTGATCATAGCTATCCACTCGAATGCTTTGAAGACGCGGGGCATAAATGACTCCTGGACAGAACATTGTGAGTCGAGGACACCGTGCTATAGTTACACATTCTAATAATGGGAACCTGAAAGTATAACTGTGGCCACTAAATCTCTTCAATCTTGGTAAATAGTCAAGTTCCAAAAGCTTCAGTTTGCTAAAAAAGATTTCCTTGTCCTCATCATCTTCTCCATCCTGCTTCATTACAATTTCTTCCATCTTATCGCAGAAAGTTATCTCCAATGTTTCAAGATTCACCAAACTTTTGGCAGTTGAATATGTCATTAAATAGACGAGCCGATCACATTCAGACACCTTGAGCACTGTCAAATTGGCAATGCAGAGTTCCCTGAATGATGGAATTTGATCAACAATAAAGTGTGCATTATGTGATGGGAATATCTCCTCAAAAAAACTATTCTCCACACGAAGTTCACTCAGTTTCGGAAATCTTCCAAGCAATGCGTATGGAAATGTTACCCCTTCACCAACAAATCCTTCTATGCGAAGAATTTCCACGTGAGAAAAACAGTCCGCTGGAAATTGGTCATTCCTTATCATGCTGACATCATCCTCATCTAACACCAGCTCTCTTGTACAGACAAATCGCTGTAAAACGGTTATAGGCAAAGATATATTATTCAACTATAACTACATAATTTAATATTTTGTACTGAGAAACGTTTATAAATAATAATTCCTATTTTTATATCGCGTAATTTCATATTGAATCAGTAGCGTAGCAATAATAATTTATTTTTTATTGAGTCCCGAAGTCAAATACGCTCACGAGCCAGAGGAAAGAAAACTATGAACAATTTTGTCGCCCATTATCTTCCTAATCAAACAAGAGTCACACATTTTGAGTTCATTAATTTTTATTATTAATATTGGAAAAGAAATAACGATATCAACTACGACAAAGAAGAATAATAATACTAAAACACTCTGCTATATATTCCATTAATTGATTATGACGAAACTTTTTGTGGTGTTTAATTTGTAATTAAACTGATGCAACAAGATTATACTTACAAGTTTAGCAGAATCTTTGATTAAACCAAATATGCGCAGGGAGATTTATATTAAATATCATAAAAATGGAACTTTTATAGATGAGTACTTTTGTAAAATATGGAAATAGAAAGAATTAAGCATGCTGGTGGACGCACCTGTTGGTGGATTGTTTTGTTAAGGTTGGTGTCCCAAATTTCATGACGTTTTCCCTCATCGTCTGACAACTGAATGCTTTGAAGAGATGGTGTATCAATGAGTCCTGGAGAGAATATTTCCAATTTTGGACATCCTCTTATGATTAGAGTATCCAATAATGGAAACCTGAAAGTATAATCGTGGCCACAAAATCTCTTCAATCTTGGACATCTGTCAAATTGCAAGTACTGCAATTTGTTGAAAAAGATTTCCTTATCCTCATCATCCTCTCCTTCATGCTTCGAGATGATTTCCTCTAGGGAAAATTACACTCAGGTCCCACAGAACACAATTAATATCAAAAAGGTCCCTCGAAATCGCGAAATGATTCTGAAGTCCCCAGGGACCTGTGTGTAATTAATTCTAATTGTGAAATTACGTAGTTACCCCTGTTGATTTGAACCTATTTACAACCTCAACAGTGGCTGTTAACAACCCGAGAAGAGGTGGTTACAACCTCAACAACGCCCCTGGTATTCCACAGAGTGAGTTGTCATGAGCACTGCCGAGATTGTCAATCACGTCTTCTCGGGTTGTTAACAGCACTGTTGAGATTGTAAATAAAATTAGAACCTATTTACAACATCAACAGTGGCTGTTAACAACCCGAGAAGAGGTGGTTAACAACCTCAACAACGCCCCTGGCATTCCACAGAGTGAGTTGTCATGAGCACTGCCGAAGTTGTCAATCACGTCTTCTCGGGTTGTTAACAGCCACTGTTGAGATTGTAAACGAATTGTTGCAATAAAATTAACAGGGGTAAGTAGGTAATTTCACAATTAGAATTAATTACACACAGGTCCCTTGGGACTTCAGAATCATTTCGCGATTTCGTGGGACCTTTTTGATATTAATTGTACTATGTGGGACCTGAGTGTAATTTTCCCTTTCCTCTATTTGACGGCAGCGACCAATTGAGAGATGTGTGAGATGGACCAAGCTTCGAGCAGTTGATGACGTCATCAAAGTGGTCAACCCATAAGAATATCTCACTGTAAGATGTGTGAGATTTGGTAAAGAAACCAAGGATGGTGCCAAGCTTTTCATCTTGTAAAGATTCTGAAGAGTCAATTTTACTGGAAAGGGAATTTCGTCCCCTCCAAAAGCCTCCTTAATGTCACCACCCAACTCTAACTCCTCTAATTTTGGAAAGCTCTTCAACAATGATTTGTACGATATAGTTGTGGCTTTCTTTACAGAGAGATGAAGCAGTTTTACTTTGGGGAAGGGGTACGCTGGAAACTGGCCACTCCCTATCATCTCAGCCCCTTTACCATCCAATCTCAACTCCTCCAAATTACGAATATCCTGCACAATACATAAATAATAACTAACTGTACCAATTAATTAGTACGTCAAAAGCCATATGCGATTTTCATGAGGGTAACTGATCTTCAGATTAAAATTTGATGCATCCACAATTTTCACATACGTATATTTTATGAACTTCAAATATGAATTATAATAAATTAAAATAAATAATATAAATTTTCGGTATCTGGAATTACGATTTGGTTAGGATGACACAGACATTATACCTCCCTTCTTTTTAGAAAATAAAATATTATATTAAAGCTTATAATGTCTAAGGGGGAGGGGGGGAACCATATTATCCCCGCCCTTGATTCAACGACACACCTCTTTTATGTGAGGATGAAAGCTGAGGATTGGAGTTCCTCTTTGAAAAAGAAAGAACAGAACATTATTTACAAAATCTATTAATTAAAATAATTATAATGAATTATTTTTTGTTTTTTTAAAAGCCAAATTTAAAAAAATCTAAACAGCACCATATTCTAATAAATATTTTGGTAATTGGAGTAATTCACATATTTGTATACTCACAAATATCAAATTCAAGTGTTTTTACGTTCTAAAACAAAATAATTTGATGTTTCATTATTTATTTTAATGCTTCAAGTTAGTTTTGCTCTTTTATTAGCTTATTTTTAAAACAAATAAGACATGAATAGCTAATTTAGAAATGTACCTTGTGATGGGATAGTAGATGATATTTTGAGTCTAGTGTGCTTTCTTCCTCATGTATTTCAAATGAATTTGAGGCTTCCTTTTCAAATATCTCTAACTCATCGCAATACCTAATAGATAATCGTTGAAGTTGTGGCCATTCTAATGTGTGTCTCTGTGGATAAAAGTTCTTCAAATTTTCAAGCCAAAAAAGCTGAAGGGAAGTCAGCCTAGGAAACTCAAATGCAGCAACAGCAGATTCTGAAAGTTGGTCTTTTGCAACAATTACATCCGCACCGCAATGATCTATTTGAAGCTCTTCAAGATCACAAAGCATGCCTTTGGCTATGGATGCAGGAAATATACTTGTGAGACTTTCACATCTAAAAACATTGACATTCCTTAGACATGGGAAGGAGACATTTCCTTGGTAGTGATTGCTCCACACATTCTTCAATTTTGGCAATCCATATAGCTTTAACTTCTTCAGTGGCACAACCTGGATTGATGATGACACCGTCTCTCTATATTCGTTCAAATCTTCAAAATCAAGCACCATCTCCAACATGTGACAATTCCTGACTTCCAGTTCTTCCAAATTGTATAAAGATTTTAGCACACAAAGGGGCACTAATTTCACAAAGCCACAGTTTTTCACAATCAATATTTTCAAATTGCTAAATGAGGTGTGTGAAAGTTGGTCGTCCCATATCGTTGGAATCAAATTGATTGAATTGGACAATTCCAACCTCTCTAATTTTGGAAGTAACACCTGTTGAAAGAAAATATGATTAAACACAAATAACTTATAACCTATAGGCTTACTTTTCATGAAAGATTGTTTAAATGTCTAAATAAAAATCTCATCTATCACAATACTTTTCAAGCCATTGCTAAAAGTTCAATTTCAAATTTCACGGTCACAAAATAAAAATTAATTAAAAAAGTGAAAGAACTATAAAATGCTATAGTAACTAGCCTAATACCAAATTAAGTAGTTCCAGTGAATGTAATTTTTGTAGATTTTGTTAGAAAAAATTAGAAAAAAGAATCCGGCAAAGCAGGTAATTGTAGTGAAAATGATTTTTTTTTTTGGCAGGTAATTAAGTTTGAAGTTTTGTGGTAAAGTTAAAACAAGAAAAAGTAACTAAAATAATATGAATATAACCTATTGCTGAAAAGGGATTGGAAAACCATGAGCTACATTCTCATAAATATTTTTTTTGAGTAATGAACAGCACAAGCGTCTGGCATCCCCGTCCAACCAGGTCGTTATTCACAGCATCCAAAATACTCATAAATGCTGTTTTTGTAATAGGAACAATTCATATATTAAGATACTCTAAAATATCACGTTGACGTGTTTTTAGGATGTAAAATGAATAATTTGAGGCTTCATTATTTATTTTAAAACTTGAAGTTATTGGCTTTTCTCTACTATTAGCTGATTTTAAGTAATTAAAAAAAATAAAAAGCTGCAAACTTCCATAATTGCCTAATAGTAGAGCAAGTAATTCTAGTGAAAATGAATTTTGCATATAATTTTGAAGTTTTGTAAGAAGATAAAATAAGAAAAAAAATTGTAAACAAAATAATCTGCAAATACCTTGTTGAAAATTAACTCAGACATTTTGCTGGATATGTTAGTTGTTGCAGCTTCAAGATGTGCTGAGTTCAAATCAATGTATCTAATAGTATCATTACTTTCAATTTGAAGATGCCTTAAATGTGGAAATGCTCTTCCATCATGACCATGAAGAACATTTTCAAGCCCATTAGATCCATATAAATACAAATCTTCAGCTCCTGTTATCAACTTTCGTACCCCAGGCTTCAAATGGATACTACCCTCTAGCTCAAGTTTTAATATCTTTGAAGTTTCATGCACTACAAAAATCTGGACTTTCAGCGACCACTTTCAGCGGCGACAAAGGGAGTCGCCGCTGAAAATATGACTTTCAGCGGCGACAATTATTGTCGCCGCTAAAAGTCGGACTTTCTGCGGCGACAAGTATGTCGCCGCCAAAAGTATGAGTTATGGCGGCGACATATTATTGTCGCCGCTGTAACTTCAACTTTCAACGGCGACAAAATTTGTCGCCGCCGAAAGTGTGCACTACGGCGGCGACAATTCAAGTCGCCGCTGAAAGTGTACACTTTCAGCGGCGACAATTTAAGTCGCCGCTGAATGTGGTTTTAGCGGCGACTAACTGTCGCCGCTGAATCCTCTTTCAGCGGCGACTTAAATTGTCGCCGCTGAATGTCTCTTTCAGCGGTGACCTTATGTCATCGCTGAATCCTGTTTCAGCGGCGACGCTTCCTGTCGCCGCTGAATATATCTTTCAGCGGCGACCTTCTGTCGCCGCTGAATCTTATTTCAGCGGCGACTCTTGGTGTCGCCGCTGAAGCTCACTTTCAATGTCGCCGCTGAAAGTTTTTTCACATTTTTTTAATCTTTTTTTTTGTAAAAATTTTCTTTTTTTTTTAATCTTTTTTTTTTTGTAAAAGTTTTTTCACATTTTTTTAATCTTTTTTTTTTGTAAAAGTTTTTTCACATTTTTTTAATCTTTTTTTTGTAAAAGTTTTTTCACATTTTTTTAATCTTTTTTTCACATTTTTCAAAATTGTCTTTTATTGTAAAATTGCTTCAATTAAAGTGTCTTAACCATTGGAGCAATAAATCTATGGATGCATTGTTGGCCCTATTGAAAGATGTTCTTCCAGAAGGGGCTTTAGTGCCAAATTCATTTTATGAAGCTAAGAAGATAATTCGTGATTTGGGTTTAGATTACAATAAAATTGATGCTTGTGGAAATGATTGCATATTATACTGGGGGGAACATGCAAAAGAAGAATCATGTCCTAAGTGCAAGATGTCTAGATGGAAGTTGAACAGGCAAAGAGGGAAAAAAATTGCCCAGAAAGTCTTAAGGCATTTTCCGATAATACCTAGGTTACAAAGGCTTTATATGGCAAGAGACACTGCTAAAGAAATGAGGTGGCATGAGGAGAAGCACACAAATGATGGTGTATTGAGACATCCAGCTGACTCTCTTGCTTGGCAACACTTTGACCAACAATATCCTAGTTTTTCTACTGATCCAAGAAGTGTTAGATTAGGTTTGGCAAGTGATGGATTTCAACCTTTTGGGAATATGAGTGCCAATCATAGCATTTGGCCTGTAGTTTTGGTACCATATAATTTGCCACCATGGCTTTGCATGAAAAGCCCATATTTTATGATGACACTTCTTATTCCTGGTCCAAAGTGTCCAGGTAATGAAATAGATGTTTACTTACAACCAATGATTGAGGAGCTGAAACAATTGTGGGAAGTAGGGGTGCAAACATATGATGCATTTTCTCAATCAAATTTTATGATGTATGCAGCAGTGTTGTGGACGATAAATGATTTCCCCGCATATGGAAATCTTTCAGGATGGTCAACTAAAGGCAAGTTTGCATGCCCTTGTTGTCACAAAGACACGCATTGCATTTTATTAAGGAGCAAGTTATCTTATATGGGTCATAGGCGTTTTCTTCCACAAAATCACCCATGGCGCAAAGATGCAAAATCATTTGATGGAAAAGAAGAACTCAGAGCTCCACCAATTCCATTAACTGGAGATGACGCACTTATGCAATTAGAACAATTGGGTAATATATCATTTGGAAAAGGCCAAAAACGAAAACGCCCTACAAATAGTAAGGCTTATAATTGGAGGAAAAGAAGCATTTTTTTCCAATTGCCTTATTGGAAAAATTTGTTGATACGACATAATCTTGATGTGATGCATATAGAAAGAAATGTTTCTGATAATATTGTATCGACAGTGATGGATTTACTTGGAAAGACAAAGGACACATTAAAAAGTAGGTATGATTTGGTGGATTTGGGCATTAGGAGTCATTTGCACCCGATTAAGAATGGTAATGATGTTTATAAGCCTCCTGCTCCTTACACATTATCTTCTGAAAAGAAACAATCCCTTTGCAAATTCTAGGCTAACTTAAAAGTACCTGATGCTTTTGCATCTAATATCTCAAGGTGTGTCAACATTCACGAGCGAAAAATATTTGGTTTGAAGTGTCATGATCACCATGTGCTATTGCAGGAAATATTTCCAATTGCAATACGTGGGTTACTGCCTCCCCAAGTATGTGAACCAATAATACAATTGGGAAGATTTTTTAAAAATCTTTGTTCAAAGTGTTTAACATGTGAAGAACTTGACAAACTTCAAAGTCAAATAGAAATAACTCTGTGCAAGTTAGAGACCATATTCCCACCTGCCTTTTTTGACGTAATGGTTCACTTGCCTATACACTTGGCGGGAGAGGCAAAAGTTGGTGGGCCAGTTCAGTATCGTTGAATGTACCCCATAGAAAGGTAATTCGCTTTAACAAGGTTACTTTACAATTATATTTATAATCTATCATTTAAAACCATTCAATAAGGCTTGACTTTTTGTTGTAGGTATTTGCGAACTCTAAAGTCATATGTTGGCAATAAGGCCCAACCTGAAGGATCAATTGCAGAAGGATATTTGGCAGATGAAAGTCTAACTTTTTGCTCACGATACTTGAAAGACATTCCCACTAAATTTAATGTGCAGCATCGGAATGATGACATCAGTGATAATAATATCAGTAATGAGCTTTCGGTGTTCAAGAAAAGTGGTGAAGCTAGAGGACATTTTGAGTCAGTCTCTCTTTCTTATGAAGAGTATTGTCAGGCAAGAATGTATGTGCTCCAAAATTGTGAAGAAACTTGGCCATTCATAGAGTACGTCAACTTAATTTAACTAGAATGAATTTGTTATAATTTATATTTTTCTCACTTGTGTAAAAACATGTAGGGAACACAGGAGAGAACTTGAAGCTCGGGGATTAATGAGTGAGCAAAAGCAATATAAAGAGTTTCCTGATTGGTTCCGTTCACGAGTAAGTTCTAGACTTTGAGCTTTGAAGTTTATATTAATAATATTAATGCATATTGAAGGAATGGGTCTTCTTTAATAGGTGATAGCATTGTCCACACAAGGCTTTGTAAGTCCTGAACTCAAAAGTTTATCAATTGGTCCATCGAGAGTGGTCAATCGTTACTCTATGTTTATAGGCAATGGATTTCGTTTTCATGCAAAAGATCGGGCAATAGGAAAAAGAACTCAAAATGATGGAGTCATGGCCAAGGGTGATGACACTGATGCTAATAAAGAATATTATGGTGTGTTAGAGCATATTTATGAGTTATCTTACATAGAGAATAAAAAATTATACTTGTTTAAGTGTCACTGGTGGGATGTCGCTAACTATGGCGAAGGATATAAGGTGGATAAGTATGGGTTCACAAGTATCAACACTCAATGTTCATTACAAACTAATGAACCATTTATTTTAGCATCTCAAGCAGAGCAAGTTTTTTATGTGGATGATATTGTTGACCCGGGTTGGATTGTTGTTGTCAAAACGAATCCACGTGACTTGTTCAATATGCCGATTGAGAATGTTAATGTTGGTAGTGATGTTAATATTGCAATGGTTGATGAAGAGCCTTATCAACAATTGGTGGTTGATTTAAATGCAAGTCTTATACAGCATGATATCTTTATTGACTTGTGTGGAGATGATGTACAACCCCAAACTTTCATTCAAGTAGGAGAACCATCACAAAGAAGTAATATGGAGATTGGATTTATTGATGATAGTGAATCTAATTCACTAGTTCATGACGATAGTGATGAAGAAGATGTGCTTGATGGTAATGATAGTGATACTGAAGAAGAAAGTGACATTGAAGGTGAAATAGAAGATGATGATACAAGTGATAGTACCACAGAGGACTCAACAGAATGAAACTACAATCCTCATAAATGGTAGTTTTTATTAATATATTCTTAACAAGTTAGATTTTGTAATTTTTTTAATATATACTATCTTCATAAAGAGTAGTTTTATTAACATAAAAAACAATCTAAATTTTGTACATTATTGCAGGATATGTCAGGGCTAAAGAGAGGACGGGGTAGGAGAAGCTCTTCCTTCACACGACATGGCAGCACAAGTAGTGGAGGTATTAGCTCTACCCCTGCAATTAGACATACCATTTCACCTCGACCACTCCAAGTACAATTTGAGGAATTGCCTGCCGACTCTCCCCCTACTCAAAACAGTAGTGCAGGTAAATTTTCTTTACTTTTATATAATACAAGTAACTAATTAGCATCACATACTTTTGACTATATTATTTGTTCACTTGAATGATAGGCTCTTCTAATATAATTAAGAAAGGTAGAGGAGTTTATAAGTCGCTCAATGTGGACTTAATGACTAAATTTGGAGGAAAGATTCAGCTTACTTTCACAGATGACATGACAAGAGCAGTAGGGCAAGGAGCAAGAGAGCTAGCTAATTATTGTGGTTATGTTATTAGAACCACAATATCTTTGAAGGATTGTGCTGAATGGAGGAATGTTTACACAAATTATATTGATGTTATGATTTTAAAAGTGAAGGTACAATTTATGTTTAGTAAATGTATATCCTACTTTATTTATGCTTTCAAAACAAGTACTTATGCTGATATTGATTTTTATTTTAGGAAAAATTTCAACCTGCTGTTGCAATAGATGAAGAGAAGTTCCAAAAGATGATAGTGACCACATTGCAAAATGCTTTCAGAAATTGGAAGACCAACTTGCATACCCACTATAAGAAATTTGACACTGATGAAGAAAGGTTGGCAAATCCACCTCAAACTGTAAGTTTTGAAGATTGGGAGTGGTTATTGACATATTTTCAGTCAGATCCATTTAAGGTATCTTACTAAATACTAACTATTTAAATGAATAATATAATTATATCATTCAACATACTTAGTAGTTACTCAAATTTGATGTAGAACAAAAGTGCTAGAAACACACAAAACCGAGCAAAACAAGTAACAAAGCATACATGTGGTCCCCGATCATTTGCGGAGGTTGAGTTCTCTGTAGTAAGTTGCCTCTTCACTACACTTTATTTTTTTATCCAATTTTTATTTTTCAAGATTTGTTATTTTTGTATATCATGCTTTATAGAGAGACCCCACCACTGGACAGCCTGCCCCCCCAGATCAGGTTTGGGAGATAACACATACTAGGAAGACTGCAGATGGCCAGTTACAGTGGGTGGATTCGCGATCTGAAGAGATTCATGTATGTATAAATATCTGTCCTTTATATTTAATTAAATAATTATATTTTTTTCATTAATGTAATTTGTAATTTGTAACTATAGGATCGCATGCATGAGCTCGTTCAGCAGCAATCCTTAGAGAGTGATGCTCGAATGACCTCTGATGAGATATTGACAGCTGTTCTTGGTGAGAGGTCAGGATATGTTAGAGGAAAAGGTTATGGAGCAGAGCCTCGGAGGAAGAGACTTCACACTCAATCTAGTGATTCACTTGAGAATGTACGCACCCAATTGTATGAAGAGTTTGAAAGAAGATTTCAAGAGGAGCGAGAAAAGATGGAAGCAAATCTTGCTGCAGAGCGAGAGAGGATGGAAGCAGAACGTGCAGCAGAGCGAGAAAAGATGGAAGCAGAACGTGCTGTAGAGCGAGCAAAGATGGAAGCAGAGCGTACGCAACTTGAACAAAGGATGGAGCAGTTGATGGAACAGAGAATACAAGCTCAGTTCACTGCTTTCATGCAAAAGATGCAGTTAAATGCTCCTGCAGATACCCCTACTTCTAGCGTCCCTAATATTGATCCCTCTACGTAATTTTTCTTCTGTATTATGTAATGTATCTTTTAATTGAACAATTTTTTTTTTCAGTTAGAGACATAAAGAACACTTTCATGGTTATAAATCTTATTATTTAATATACCATATTTGTGTGTTAATTACTTTATTTTTATTAAACCTTTTAATAATATTTATCAGCAATATAAATAAAAGTTTTTGCAGAATTAATATATTATAAAATTAATTAAAATCACAATCAGCGGCGACAATGTCGCCGCCGAATCAAGCTTCGGCGGCGACCACAATGTCGCCGCCGAATCAAGCTTCTGCGGCGACCACAATGTCGCCGCTGAAGCAACTTTCAGCGGCGACAACAATGTCGCCGCCGAAGCAACTTTCAGCGGTGACAACAATGTCACCGCCGAAGCAAGCTTCCACGGCGACATTAGTCGCCGCCGATTCTCATGTTTTAGTGGCGACGGTTCTGAGCGGCAAACTCATCAGCTTTCAGCGGCGACAGAATGTCGCCGCTGAAAGTAGTTTCAGCGGCGACTTTTTGTCGCCGCCGAATGTCCAGTTTCAGCGGCGACTTTTTTTGTCGCCGCTGATAAGTTTCAGCCACGGTCGCTACGGCAACGACTTGGCGACAAAATGTGTTTTGTCAGCGGCGACTTTTGGACTTTCAGCGGCGACAAATGTCGCCGCTGAAAGTCGAATTTTTTGTAGTGATGATTGCCTTGCCATTTCCAAAGCTCTCCAATGAATATTCTATATCTCTTCAAATTCAAATCTAAGAACAAAGTCTCCGGCAACATAGAGACATTAGGAATATGAATATCGAGAGAAGAGATGGGCAAATCCTTTAACTCATCAAGACTTGCATTTTCATTAGCTTCACTAGATCCCTCAATTTTCCATTGGTTAAAGCTGTTTCCCATGTGCAACACTTCCAATTTTTTGAAGCAAGATAGAAGTTTCGGGGGAATCACTTTGAGCTTGGAGCAATGGGCCAAATTCAACATTTGTAAAGAAGTCAACTCTGTTAATTGAATTGGTAGCAATTCAATTTTAGAGTAAGCAAAACTTAGGACTTTTAAATTCTTCAAGCTTTTAACCTCAGTTATATCTTCTAACAAACACGAGTGTAGACACAATGTTTTTAGTTTTATTAGAAAACTAAGTGATGGTAGTGATGAAAAATGCACATTCCTAAATGCCAATAGTTTCAGCTCCTTTGAAGATTTGAAAATCATGTTGGGTATGGTCAAATCACGTTTTGTGCTATCTAGTAGAAAGAATTCTAATCTTGGACAATGCAACTCTTCTGGAAGGTCACTAATTTCACTCGGTCGTAAGCAAATTCCTTTATAGCCTTCTTGCGTATTTTTGTCTGGCCATTCTGTCAACTTTCTATGCATCACAATGAATGCATGTAATTCATCGGATGCAATCGATAATGCAATGTCCCGAAAGACATCATGTATTGTAAAACGATGATTAGAAAAGCTATCAAGAAATAAGTTTGATGATTTTAGCTTACTTACAATAGCAGAGATTCCATTGTGGGCTTCCTCCATGTTTTCTGTGTGTTTCAGAAAATCTAACCCCATAGAGTGCATGAGAAGGTCTTCGATTGAGGGATCATGGGACAACATGGCACCAAGCAAGAAAATATGCTTGTTCTCTAATGAGGTTAGACGATCATAGCTTGATATCAAAATGGTATCTACCTCTCTAATTCCTGTGATGTTTCTCCTTAAAGGATTATTCAATCGGGCAAGGTAATCTTTCCAGTCATCTGGATTTTTTCCTAGCAATTCTTTGGCAGCTGTAGCAATCGCTAGTGGCAAGCCTCTGCACTTTTGAACAATCGCATTAGCTATAGATATCAGGTCAGGACTACTTGAGTCAATAGACAGTTCAGCAATCCTCTTGAACAACTCCCATGATTCATCCTCTGACAAAAAACCCACTTTGATAGTTTTTTGACATTTCATGCGGTTTGATAGCAGCGTTTCGTTCCTTGAAGTTAGTAGAATTTTGCAGCCTTCATTCTTTTTGTTATAATTCTCAACGTCAACAAAAGGAATTCCAACTTTGCCCAAATCAAGTTCCTCCCAGAGATCATCCAATATTAGGAGCAAATTCTTCTCTTGCTTCAACCTCTCATACAGATGACAAGCTCTTACTTCTTCAAATGTTTCATTGAGTTGCATACCCAGTTTCACAGCAATCTGGCCTTGAATCTTCTCAACATTCAATTCTTGAGAAACAATTGCCAAGATTACCTTTTCAAACATGTTTTGACTCTTTGCTACTTCTTTAGCTATAGTGGTCTTGCCAACACCACCAAGCCCACACAATCCAATCATATTAACACTTGGATTCCGTAATTCCTCTATAATTTGATTCACAATTTGCACTCTTGAACCAATCCCTGCATTGCTTTCTCTGTTGAATAATTCTGGCATGGACGGGGGAAGAACGCGATATGAAACTGTATTGAAGTTTCCCTTTCCGCAGATTTTAACAACTTCTTGTGCCATTGCCTTTGCTCTTTTGCTTAGTTTATAGCGTAGCCACGGGTTGGGACATGAAGTGACGCTATACTCTGTTTTTGCTTGACTCTCTTCTTCATGAAACTTTTGAATTTGTTCTGAAACCTCATCTACTTTGCGCAACCAATGAAGAACTTTGTCTTCAATTGGTTCTGCATTGTTTGTAGCCTCATCTATTTGATGTTTTATGGAGCTTCTTTCATCGATGAGTTCCACAAGTCGTTCATTGAGCTGCTTAATATTTCTGTGATAATGAAACAGATGATGAAACTGCTCGCAAGTTGGGTCCAGCACTAGGTCCCAGAACTTGTCAACAAAACTGCTCACTGATCCGCAAGTAATATCCATTTAATTTGTGCTCTGTTAAAAAGATGTAGCCAAAACTCAATTAGTCTTGTGTTGTTCATGCAGAAGTATTGGCATAAATTTTTATATTTTGATCTAACAATAACCAATATGAAATTTTGCAATCTGAATGTATATAATCCTTCGATATACCAACAGTAAGAAGCTTTCCCTAGTGTTCCAAAACAGAAAGTAACAAGTTAAGAAATCAAGAAACACAGAAGAAGAAAAGAATGCTGTGAAATTATGAAAGAAGGGGAGACAACGAGAGCAAATGAAAATAAAGCAGACATTAATAAAAAGTGCCAATAAAAGGAGTAATAAGTTCAGTAACGGCATTTTTCCAAAGATCGATTTGAAGCACAAGACAGTGGCCAGAAGCTCGAGGGTTTAAACACAAGCATATTTACTTCCACCAGGTTGCCCCAAAGACTAGGGGTCGGGACTTCATTGTTTTTCATTGTTATTCCCTTCGTTAAGCTCTGTTTTTTTTTTTTTTTTAAGAGAAACATAGAAAAGAATAAATAAAATCACAAATTGTTGCTTTGCTAGGATCTTTTTGAGATAATGCGCATGGATTAAAAAGATGAGGTGAGTTGGTTACATGTAAAAACGTGCGCTAATTAACTTTCTTAAAATATAATTTATTTTAATTTTTTATATTTAAAAAATTATAACATAGCTTATATCTCGTATGATAATTGCATATAAAATTATTTTAAGATACAATAGAAAAAAAATACTCTAGACGTTGATTGCAACTTATGTTTAAGTGATCGTACTTTTTACTTGGTACTTTAGGGGGAAAATTGGGCTAAAAGTTGGAGGAACCAATCCATTTTCTCATATCAAAGTGTCAGGGAAGAAAAATGAGAAATCCAAAAGTGTCATTAGCTGCTCTTTTTAGCTAACACTATATATTTTGTAAAACATCATCGCAATTTTAGAAGCATATGAAATTATTGGCAGTAAAAAAAAAGACAGAATGGTATATGAAATTTTTTAAAATATCAAAGTCTTATATATTATCTATAAGCATTAAACTCCGCTTTTCGTTGGCCCAAAAAAGCTAAAAAAAAACGTTTTTCTTGAGAAATTCATAATTATTATAAGAGTGTCACATAATCTATGCTTGACTAATTAATATCTTCCAAATCACATGACGGGAAGGGATTTTCATTTTGTCCTGTCTCGATCCCCCGATGAGTTCAGGACGGGACGGGACGGGACAAGTATGAGACAAGACGAGATAATAACCAGGACGGAATAGAACGTGGAATAGGATAGTCCCGTGCCATCTTGGGATATTTTTTTAAAAAAAATATTTATTAATAATTATTATTATATTATTCAATTTACTTATTAATAATTATTATTATTTATAGTGACTTTTAGCTTTTAAATTGTAGTATTATCTTAACAAAATCTCCTTCCTCATTAAAATAATTCATAAAGTCATTATATAGTGTTTTTTTACGGTATTTTTTTACAGTATTATTTTTATATATTTTTTATATTATATAATTAAATTTTCTACATCATATTTTTTTAAAAAGCCCAATAAAAAATAAGCATTATAATATAAAAAAATTCATATAAAAATTTATAATATTTTTTTAATAAAAAAAAAGCATGACGTCCCAGTCTCATCCCGATCCTATCAGAACCGGGACAAGACGAGATATAGAACACAAGACGGCCTGTCCCATGAACACCTCTTGGGACCTATACTTATTGCAAGCATTTATGTATTCTTTTTACTTTTGCACACGCGCTCCCTCCCCTCTCTTAACTCTCTCTTTTCTTTTTGATTTAATTTTCTCTTTCTTCATGATCAAACTCCCCCTATTGTAAGTTTATGACTTTTTAAGTTTTATCCCTCTATTTAATTTCTCATAATCTCGCCCTCCCTCTTCATTTTTAATTTTATTTACTCTCATTTAAATAATATTACTGCATTTTAAGCTTTAACTGGAGTTAGAAAATAGCATTAATAAAGACATTGAAATGCCGAAGGTTTACATTTTAAACCAAAAAGAAGAAAAAATGAAATACTTTTATAAACATAAGCTATCATTAGTAAATATCACTGAAGCTGCAAAAAAGGTTTGAAAATTCACTTTTTTGTTCAAGATGGATTTTTTTTCTTAGAACATTAATACACCAGCGATCTCATAAAAAATGAAGAAAAATAAAAAGAAATTTATAAACACAAGTTATTATTAGCAAAGGCATGTCATTGAAGTTAAAAAAGTCCTAACCGGATATTTTATTTAGTTTGATTCCCTTTATCAAAATCTGCTTAAGATTTTGACATGTCTTTTTTGGTCGAATAATTTTCACATGTCAACATAAAATAAATCATCAAAAAGAAGGGAATTTTAAAATCTGAGAAAGAATTCAAGGGTTAGGTTATAAAATATAAAATAACATATCCATCAGAGTTTAAAATTTAAATATTTATATATTTTTTGTAGAAAATTTTTATATAATTCTTTTAGTATTTTTGATTTGGAAATTCAAAACATGAACATAAAGTCTAAAATAGGGGGGAGGAAGAAGTGTTATTATTTAAATGAGAGAGTAAATAAAATTAAAAATGAAGAGAGAGTGAGTGAGGGTATACAACATGTAGAAATATTAGAGAAATAACCACCGAACCGTTTGGTTTAGTGGTGGGGGTGTGTGCGGGGGGTTCGATCCCCTCTCTTGTAACCGAAAAAAAAAAGAAATATTAGAGAAATAAAACAAATTTAAAATGAGTGGAGGAAGTTTCGGGAAAGAGAGAGACAATTAAATTAAAAAGAAAGAGGGAGAGTTGAGAGAGAGAGAGGAGAGAGAGAGAGATTGTGCACAAGTTACGTGGCGCTCTCTGAGAACTAAAAATTTCTCATTATCTTAATTATATTCTTCGTTTTTTTTTAATTCAGTTTATCTCTTGATCAGTTGATCTTCTTTCTGTCTTTCGTTGCCTCCCTTTCTAATCTCTGAACTTCCACTGTAGTATCATACCCTAAAGTTCTCTTTTTCAAAATTTAAATTTTAAATTCTCTTTCTCATTTATTCATAATTTCATCAACAAGTTTCATCAGAATTTCATGAAATCCATTTTACACTCTCAATTCATGTATAACATTTCGAGGATTTTGTTGAAACTGTTAAAAAAAATCCTGATTTAAGTACGAGATGATGTATTTATAACTTGCAATTAATATATTGTTTTTTTAAGACCAATTTATTAAGCGAACACGAAACAAACTTACGAATGTATTAAAGGAAAGATAAAATGTAATGAGGTCCCATTTATTTTTTTTTTAGTTTTTTGGTAAGAACGTCCCATTTATTTTACATTTAGGAAGAATTCTTTTTATTTTTAAACAATTTATAAACTTATAGAATTAAAATTTGTGCAAAACAAACCATCTTTATATTTTTAAGATTATATTTTCGCACACCACAATATTAATTACACATTTTGGACCAAAATATTTCTCTTTAATGAAAACGTTCGAATTTATATGGAAATATTTTTAATGGTGTTAAAAATGGAACCAAGAGGTAAAAAGATACTTTTTATGAAAAATTAATTATTTAGTTCTAATGTATATTTTTAGTCTTTTAACTTTACATAATTTTTTATTTTGGTTTTTGAGCTTTAAAAAATAAACTTCTAATCCTCTAACCTTGAAATTAGTGGATGATATTCAACTATTGAATATTGATAAAGTATTATTAAATGCTAATATATTAAGTGAAATTTTCAAGACCATTATGACTGTTAAAAAAATCATCATTTAAAATCAACAATTTTAGGATTAAAAGACTAAAAGTAAACATTTTAAGTCAAAGAACCAAATTGAAACTTTATATAAAATTAAAGGATTAAATACATACTTTAGCTTATATATATATATATATATATATATATATTTAGAACGAAAGCCTTATATATTTTTGGTTAGAAAACCCCTTATATTTTACTTAAAAAAAAACACACAAGAGAGTATCTTCAAAACCAATAGACATCATGTAAAGCTGAGGGAGTCACACCTATATTTAAATGAGAACTTTGAAAAAGAAAATTCAAATATTCAAGTGAGGGAGCCAGACCTTAGGTATCTTTACTATGGCTAGAACACGTTTCTCTTCTTCTTCTTGCTGCTGCTCCCTGTATTCAGAAACACATAAATATGCTGCAAAAGTTGAAATACAAGTAAATACAAATCAATTAAACAGAGATTGACTTTGGCATAAATCCATATTTTCAAACTTACAGTAGTGGGCGATGTGAAACTTTGCAATTCAAGCTATATAATCCTTAGATCTCCCAACAGTAATCAGCTTTCCTCAATGTTCCAATATGGAGATCAAGCATGAGAGACCTCTTTTTTTTTTTTTTCTTTTTAAATGGTGTTTTGGACAACTTTAAGAAACTAATGCTTCACAAAATCCAAGACAACTATAAAATCTTAAAGTTTTCAAAAAAAGATGATGAATTTATGAAATCAAACAGGAAAAACAACATCAACTAAGCAATAAAAATACAAGAAAAACGTCAAACTCACCAAAAATAAAATCATCCAGAATAGCGATTTTTTTTTAAGAGATATGAGCCATCACAAATTGAAAGAGCACTTTTTTTAAAAAATTATTCTTGGGATTTTTTCTTCTTGAAGAAAGATCACAAAACCAGCAAAATAAAGTTAAAAATGATCACAATAGTAGAGAATTGAAGTGCCAGCACAAACAATGCAAAAAAGCAGGAAATTCAGGACTTTTTTTTTTCTTTTTCCGAGAAAAGACAAAGGAAAAAAGGGATCAGAAAGCCGAATATATAACACAAATGAAACTACAGAGAAGATGAAGTGAAAGAAGTTGGGAAGCAGTAGAAATTAGCACAGGAAAGAAAGTAGGATATATGTGAAACTATGGAGGAGAAGAAAACGAAAAAGCAGATCAGAAGCTTTAGTTGGGAGGAGTGGCTGCAAAGTCACTGGTTTAGATAGGATTCAAGTCTATGTAATTGGATCAATGCTGTGGGGTTTCCATTATTGGGATGATGCATGACAATTTATGTCCTTATACAACAAGTTAATATGGCTGCTCAAATTTTCAAACTCCTCGTGTGTTTAGATTCCTCATATTTAGTACTTTTTGTTTTAAAAAAATCCCATTTTAACATTAACTTTTTATGAACTATTGCCGTTCTATATGGTGACCTCTTGATGTACTTATCAAGGGGAAAAAATAACTCACCAAAAAACAAAAAAACTTGAGGCCCTACTTTGTTGTACGGTTTCTAAGCAACTTCAGACCCCCATGAGGGAATTGCAGATATTTTTAAGTATGAAGGACCACAACGAGCCATGTGTTAATAATAATAATAATAATAATATTCTCATTGATCCAATTAGCTGTGCGGGGGACCAACTTTGAATTTTCGCCAAAGAGAATTATTGAAGTGGGCCAAAATTACAATATATTGATTGAAAAAAGGAGCACGATGTTGATCACGACCCTTCGTTTCACTGTCATCCCATCATCACGTAATTATATATGAATTCATTTGGTCGTAGATTTTTATTTATTGGGCCCCCCCCACCAAGTAATTAATAATATCAACATATGCTAACCCAAGTTTATGGCGACAAATATGGGTTGACAAAAGTGTGTATTTAGTCTTTTAATCTTAAAATTTTGAGTAAAATACATTAACTATCTTTCTATTCTACTTAAATTATAGAAACCTCCATTCTATTTTGAAAGCACATATAAACTTCCCTTCAAATTAAACTATATGTTACATAAATCTTCCTTATATTTTTAAGATTCAATTTCCATCCATCCAATCGTTAGTTGATCGTTAAATTTTTATTTTGACTAAAATATCCCTATTTAACATAAATATTATTTAAACATTTATATTTATAAAAAAATTTTGATACAACAAAAAATAGTTATAATACATTTATTTTCAAAATTTTTAATGTTATAAAATTTTTAATTCCAATTAGATTATAAAATTTTATAATTTTAGTTTCTCATGAAATATTGAAACTCAAGATTTTTTTTAAATGGCTAGAAAATATTTTGAATGCTTATTTTCTTATCACATAATATAAATTATACAAGTTTGGAAACTTATACAAATCATTTGAATTTATGTTTGTATTAAGTATACGATAAAAACATTAAACAAACAACAATTTTTAAAAATAAAAAAATAAAATTAAGGTAAAGGAGAAAATCTTAAATTCTTTGATATAGTTTTAATCAAGATCTTGGGATTTAGTATTATGAAGGGTAATTTATTAAATAGAAAGTATTTCAAGATAAATTTGAATTAAAAAAATATTTTTGAAATATTCTTAACAGAGTTGATAGTTTGGATTTGAATGTATGTTTTCAAAATAGAGATGAGGTATGTGTAATTAAGACAAAATACAAAGGAGGTTAAAGTATTTTACTCTTAAATTTTTAGGCTTACATGATGTGTTTCATTAACAATCATGGTTGTTTTAAAAATCAAACTTAATACAATATTTAAGATTATTTTAATTGTTATTATTTTACGTTAACAATTTTAGAATTAAAAGACTAAAAGCATACTTTTTAAAGTTGAGAGATCATACTTAAATTTATATAAAGTTGAAGGATTAACAACATACTTTTACCTACTAATGATTTTCTTATAAGATTATTTTTTTAATAATTCTGAAATATTAAATATTATTAAGATTGAATATATTTTTATTCTGAAGCCACTTTTACCTCAAAGACTCTAGAGCTTGAGGTTAAGACTTCATCCTTTTTTATTGTCATTCTCTCCATTCAGTTTGGCTTTTCTGAGAGAAGATAGTAAAGAATAGCGCGTGGACTATAGAGTCTGAAAGTGACAAAAGTAGTGTGTGGGTTAGCCAAACGTTAGGGATAAGGTTCAGGAGAAGACTGAGAGACGACTTCCTATTGCACAACTTGGACTCATATTAGCGTGGGCCAGCTACTTATATGCTTTGTAACTATAATCAGAATTTAGTTATCCAATGTTTAAACCCTCAATCCGTTGTAGTCCGGCCGATTAGGATACTCGACTCTCACCCAAGAGACTTTGATTCTCGGCAATGGAAAGTTTTTGTTTTCTGCATTTCACACTTTCAACTACCAATAGGAATGGTTACGGGACAGGACAAAATTGAGACGACCTTAACCCGTGTCTCGTGTATTTCACACTTTTACCTACTAATAGGGATGCTCACGGGATAGGACGGAATCGGGACGACCCTGTCTCATATCTCGTCTTTTCCCAAAGCTGTTCAGGTTCTAATCAAGATGGAATAGGACTGAGATGTCTCGCGAGATTTTTTTAAATTTTTATGTGACTTCTATTTACTTTTTTATGATTAATATTTATTTTTTGTTGTTGTTAGAATAGATAAACAAAAATAATCTATAACAAAAATTAATATATATATATATATATGAATGTATATCCTAGGACAGAACAAGGCCGTGCCGCATCCTGTCCTATCCTAGCTTCCATCTTGTCCCATCTCGGTATGAATAGCCTTAGCTACAAACATGAACCGGGGGCATTATAGTCTTTTCGTGTGATTCACGGCACTCCGCCGTCTCACTTTTGATTTCAACCTTCCCTCTGTTCATCTGTGTTTTTCTCTGCATCACCGTAGTAATGGTACACTTCTCTTGTAAATCGAGTGATTTGTGAATATGGTTATATGAATGTTTATGTAGGTTTTGGAAAAGAAGTGTTCGAACCCAACAAGGGAAATCAAATTCCAGAAATTCGCCCTCAACATCTCTCCTGGAGTGAACTTCTCAGTAGTGTTAGTTGCTAAGATTGGCTCTGTACCCCCTTCCTATTTCTGGTTGGGTTCAGATGAATATTGGGTTTCTAGAAATCATAATGCTTCTACAAGTTCATGTCTCTTCTAGTTCCTACGATAAATGAAGCAATCCAGAAGCAAGTTATTGTACAATGGTACAAGATTACTGCTATTATATATTCACTATGTAATATCCATTTCCCTGTTTATTTTTCAATTCAGTCCTCATCTCATGCACAAGGTGTTTCTCAATTCTGATTATTTCTCACTTTGGTTTCTTTAAATAAATCTATTTATCATCGAATATATGTTTTTGTCTATCAATTTCAGATGTACACATTATGTGATGGACCATTATTTATATTTCTATTCGGGAGGGACTTGATTGAAAAATATCTATATCTTAAAAATCTAATTAAGACAATGTTGCCAATGATGAAATTGAGAAATATACGCCTCATTCTGTAATCACTCATTTTTTTCAATATTATGGTGCTGAAGCAACTAATTGGACGAACCCAGTATTCTCGAAACGTAAGCTTACCAAGATCCATATGATCGATCTAGTTTAGTTTGGCATTAAACTATTTTGTTTATGCATTACAGTGAGATCATTTGGAATCAGGCGTAATGAAAAGATTTCTTGCCATGTCACCTTTAGGGGTGATAAGCGATGCAACTTCTAGAGAGTGGGTTGATGGTGAAGGAGCATGAATTACTGTGAAAAAACTTCAGTGAAACTGGATTTTTCGGGTTTGGTCTTCAGTGTAAGACAGATTCGTATAAACAAGTAATTGATCCGGATGATAACAGTATGAACCCCCTTATAAGAATACAATAGAAAACTTCATAAATACTTCTAGCCATAACTTTGACTAAGTTATCTTGGGATCTAAGATGAGAGATAACAACTGCAAAATAGAACAAGAGTCAAGAGAAAGTAATTGTTCAAGTCTCTTCTTTTGACTGGCACAGTGATGGCAATTGATATTAGCTATTACCAGTCAAAGAACCACAAATGAGTAAATAGGGTTTTTCTTCTTACTGAATGTTTTCAATTGCCAGAAACATAATTGTGTTTCTCACTATTAGAGAAATTAGAATTTACAGACTAAAATTAATTACCCTATAACCACAGGCTATAGTCGGGATATTTTATTAATTTCCTAATTAAGTATCTACAAAATAATAATAACAATAATAATAATAATAATAAATATCTCACATATTGATCGTGGAATCAAGTACGTTATAATTATCTGGGTCTAAGTATCAAATCATGAATTTTGAAAAATGTGTCCTATGTTATGATTGGGAAACGGGAGGATTACAATGAGGTCTTAAGTAAGAAAAACAATTAAAAAAACAAATCCCAAAAGTTGTCATTCTCACTATAGAACTTGTTATTATAGGCCGTTAAAGTTGTTATTATGATTTTTTGATAATTATTTCTTTTTTATGGGACTTGATTGTAATTTCTTTTTGAGAAACTAACTTCACTTTAATCGTATATCTCCACGCCATCAGGCGAAATGATGGAGCAATTTTGATGTCTTGTGTATTGCATCGTTACTTTATCAGGAAAATCGATATTTGTTTCTGGTTTTTGATTGGTTTATATATTTTGCTACCTTTTTTTTTCCCCCCATTTTGTGATGCATTTGTTTTGGCAGGGACCATCGATAAATATGTTACTATTGTTTGATTGACAATGTTTGCCAGCAGCATTTATGTCTGTAAAGTTTGACAGTGCATGGGCCTAATCAGTTGGCTGACCTTTGTCCAATCTTGAGGTATACATGATCCTTCAATTGGGATCCATGGGATTTCTTCGCTGTCCTAGAACGTCCCGAATTTCATGCTGTTCTTTGTTGTTCCCCGTCGTTGTACATAGGATTACCATTTTTCTTCTCTTTTGCATAATAAAATCGATATCTCTGTCTCTTCCTATATAAGGGAGAGTTTGGTAACCCCAAAATCATTTTGAAGGGAAAAAAATTCATATAAATGGAAACAAAATTGATCTCATATGCTTACTTTATACATCATAAAATAATGTTTAAACTTTAAAAACCTAATCCAAACCCTCTTAAATCATGTTTATGCATCGGTTATTCAATAATTGTAAAATGAATAATAATTAAATAAGCAAAATAAAAACCCAACATTAATATTTCTCTTCTTTTGATATTCACGTAACTGAAAAATACTATAGTTTGGAACGCTCTCCACTCTCTTGACTATCTTCGCCAAATTAAAGTTGAATTATCCATATTTAAGAAGAGCATCATTGCAATTGTCTTCAAAATACCATAATTATTATTACTCCGATCTTTAATATAAAAATTAGTTTGACTTTCAATTTGATCCTAAATATAAAACTTCAATATAATTTGTTTCTCATATTTTTTTTCCTCAAGTAATCCTTATAGTAATTATACATTTTAAAAGTTTCATCAAATGTTAAAGTTAACACTAAATTAATAAAGACGTTTTAAGAAAGACAATACTTATTTATTATAAATAATTAACTTAACAAACCTTCTTAATCTACGTACTCAAATTAGTCAATTAATTCTTATATTAAAAATTGAAGGTAGGAGTATACATGTTGAATGCTGATTATTAGTCAAAGAAAGAAGTAGTCGCTGTGCCTATGCGTGTAAGCCTAACAAATATTAAAATATATTACGTCTGGTTTTTAGTATAAGAGTTAGATAACTAATTTAAGTAGATTAAGAAAATTAGTTATGTCAGTCATTTCTGATAAATAAATATTGTTTTTTTTAAAAAATATCCTTGCTAATCAAATGTATTTGTTATAATTATCATTATTACATAAAATACCTTAAAAAATAAATAAATATGAAAAAAAAAGTGGATTGAGATATTATATTTAAGATCAAAATAAAAGTAGGGAGAATTAGGGAGAGGGACCTATTGCGGATAATATTTATTGAAAAGGATTTTAAAAATTGTAATTATTTAGAAAGACCAACTACTCAAATATGAGTTTAAAAATATTAACTTGCCCCTAACTAAATCTCCTATATTCTCTCTCACCACATCCTATTATTATCCTATTTTTGAATGAAATAATTGAGAATTCAAACTGACCCAAATAACAAAGTAAGGAAGCAATTCTAATTAGTAAAATTAAATTAATAATCAACACTAATTAACTTATTTGTCCATCATTTTTTAATTAACAAAACTCTTTTTTTGGCTTTTTAGAATAATGAGCCTATTAAAGTTACGAAGTTTAATGGTCATTTATTTATTTATTTCATACTCTTATTCTATTTCATGCCTTATAACCTTAATTTAGGATTAAATTGAATCCTGTTAAATAATACAATTACAAATTTTAAAAATAATATAATAATAAACAATATATAACTTATTCATAACTTATAAAAGTAAAGAAATATTGTAGCAATTTTTTCATGAATGTTAACACTTCATATATTCACATCATGTGGTAAATGTTGCCATGTCATGTATGTTTTTCTTGGACTTTGATATGATTAATCATTAAAATAATGCAAGTTCCTTTTTTTTTTTTTTAATGTACGAAATTGAACACTAAGAATTTATTAAGAAAAAAATAGAGGGAAAAAACACAATGAACATTGAACCCAAATAAAAAGATCTTTTATTTAATATTTGATATTTGGTGTTATTAGGTCAAATTTTTATCAATCCTAAATAGAGATAGCTCTTTCAATTTTATTAGTCTATGGCATTTAAATTATTGTAGCCACTTTTATTATGATAAATACCCGTTGACATAATGACTTCTATATGTTACTTTTATTTGAAATTTGTAATTTTGATAACCAATATGATTCAATTTATTTTTAAGGGTTGGGTTTATAAATTTATAATGTCCTGAAAAAAAATAAGAGTACTTTGGTATAAAAAAAATAAAATAAGAGTATGAAATAAATAAATAAAAATAGGGTTGCATGTTATGACTTTGGTAAGTTCCTTATTAAGAAAGCCTAAATAAAGTTTTATTGGTTAAAAATGATGGAAAAATAAATTAAGTAGTGTTGGTCATTAATTTATTTGATTAATTAGAATTGGTTCTGATTTTGTAATTCTAATTAGTTTAATTAATACGGATAAGTCTTTATTATTTTATTTAAAAAAGGATAATTATAGGATGTGGTGAGATAGAACGTGGGGAATTTACTTAGGGGCAAAACTGTATTTTTAAATTTACGTTTTACTATTTGGTCCTTCTAAACAATTATAGTTTTTAAGATCCTTTCCAATAAATATTATACATATTAGGTCCTTCTCTCTAATTCTCCCATAAAAGTAAAACAAGTTTTTATATTAAGTCTTAGAATTAGGACTTCCGATTCATTTTGAGATTCTGGTTAAACTACTCAAATGAGAATTATTTTCTACGGCACATACCTTAAGTCTCACGAATCAGAAAGATCAAAGGGCCAACGATGGCTCTCAAAATATTTTAAATTATTGAGATGACTTGGATTTGTATATGTTGAATGCCGATTAGTCAGAAAACTAAGTTATTGCTATGCGTATAAATCTAAAATAAAGATTACCTTTTTTTAATAAATTAAAATAAAGATTGCCACGTACGCTTAACTAGTATTCTTTTGAACTCAAATTTCACAACTGGTGTAAAGAGGAAGAGGATACAACTGGACGGGCAGTCCTGGACTACCTTATTTTAAACATCATATTGGGAAGCAACTTTCTTGTACGGTTTGTGTTTCTGGAAGATTAATATTTTAGTCTTTGTAGTTTACCTCGATTTTTAATTTGGTCCCCATACTTTTATTTTGTAGCCACAAATGCAATAATACTCCCATTCATAACAAGTTTCTTATCAGCGATCATCATCTCTAGGAAGTTACCGACTCTGGTCTTCTCTGTTTTCGCATTCAGAGACAGAGCATTTTGATTACTAAGAATTCATCTAAGTAAGTGAAAAGTTGTTTTATATATATATATATATATATATATATGTATGTATGTATATGTATGTTTCTCCTTGCTCTCTCTTGTAGAGGATTCACAGGGAGTAATCGGAGGAGAGGGCAGCGTGTCATGCTTCACACTGCATCAGATTCTAACGCTATTATAGAAATAACTTTGAGGGAAAATGACAATTATACCAATTCTATTATTTAACACTATAACAAAAAAAATTATAATTACAGCTTTCATTATTTAACACTCGTACTTCGTCAAGAATTTACACAGACACAAACACACGTACACCCCACTTCCATTTTTTAACAAAAGGACTTGATGTTCATACATTACTTAATTTTACAAACAAGGCCATATCCCTTCATAAAGATTATTAAGGGATAAAAATTTTGTTAATTTGGTCCTTGAACATAATTTCCTCTGTACGTAGCCAGCAAAACATGTCAACCTTTAGCATATAGTGGCATCAATACTTCATCTATGATTAACAAATTAGTTTTGGCAAATGGGAAATTTAATATAAACCCAAAATAATAATAAGAATACAAGTATACATACTGGACGCACCTTAGACAATTATTTAATAGAAACCACACAGTTGTTGAATAAAAACTTCATAATCAAACAAGCCGCGATTTAAGGGGAGATTTTTTTTTACCAGGTCTAAGCCTTTGATCACCCAATTTATTGGCAGGAAACTGGGATATTGTTTATGACAGAAAAAAGGTCTCACTTATTATTAAATATAATTGAACATATATAACTGCTAAAACATATCATTTGCGAATCCAACAAAAGCATCATTGCACAAACATCAGTCCACATTCTTCATCAAATGTCAACATCACTACCAACTCCGTATGCGTGCATTAATCAAGCAAGGAAAGTAAAAAG